GGCATCCCCAACTGGTTGCCATCCCTCTTGGTGCCACAATCCATTTATCTCCTGAACAAAAGTGATCTCATCTCTCCAAGCTTCACAGGTAGTCACCATCTCAGGGATGTTTCCTGATCGGGCTAACTCTCCCGTTATCAGTCTCAATCGTTGGCCATCATACTTTCTCACGATTCGGCCGACCCAAGCTCACTTTGCTTTTTCTGCACAGTCCTCTCTCCGTCCTTGCCCCCCTCTCTATATTTAAGGGACCGTCACAGAAACGACCCCTCTCTTTGTGCCGATATGTGTCCTCTCTCTGTGTGTCCTTGTGATGTCTGTCTGCTTGTATGTCTGTCTATAGTTTTCTAGTTAGATTTTTGTTGTTTTTTTCTTTTTTGCCTGATGATGATTGCTTGTGTTGCAATCGAAACGTCGTAATATGCTTTTATTTTAATTTATTATTTTATCTTTAGACGTGACTTAACCGAAAGAACCAAAGAATAATTCCTGCAGTCACGAAAGCTCCATAATTAAGAGTCAACATGATGTCGCTAACTGACCTTTGTCCTCTGACACGTGTTCCTCTTTCTATCTTTCAGTGTCATTGCAAGCGTGCACCTCTCCAAGCATCGTGATGCACCCTTTAGCTTTTGTTCCATTTACTTTGCAGGATCCATTTTTCTCGATCCACATTTCACGGCAGGTTATACGCACCGATTGAAAACCTTCTTCTTTAGGCACCCTGGTACGTTGCTCTTCGCTGTTAAGTTTCGTTTGTTGATGCTCTAGCTCACCTCTTAATTAATTAATTAATATCCCAGCCTGTGATCAATATTTGCCCTAGGTATAGATGATTAAATATACTCAAGTTGTGTCCGTTTAATAGGTTACCCTCATTTGTGTAGCAGACTCTGCAGGCTTCCTTTTTATTTTAAGTTCTTCAGTCGTTGCCTGTGATTAATTCCCGTGGTTTGTTATAATGGCTAACCCATCAGCAAATAAAAAAAAACGGGAAAGGATTTACATTCAATTAGAGCTTAAATGCCCTGGCATCTCACAGCACGTTACAAAACACGAGGACGACAATGCAAACTCACCAGGAAGAAAAAAAAAGCGCAAAAGATAGGCTGAGAAAGAAAACGAGGAGGCATAGAGGAACAAAGAGTGAATGAGATCTGTGACCCGGGGATGAATGACGATCCCCGCACTCACATTTGCGTAACTGGCAGCCGCTGCGATCGTCATTAACATATTCTATTCACGTTCGTGCCTTTATATTTCAAATCCTATTTTTAGAGCACATCTTCTGATGTTCCTATGCACACGTTCAATTGGGGTAAAATGTTGTAGTTTGTAATTGGTTTCTATACATTTACATGATTATTATTGCTGCTGCTGCGTAATCCTTCAAATCATTGATCGTTATCTGTGTCGTCCCACCATTCCCGGCTATCAGCGAAGCCCCAAGCATTGTGGGTCCTTCGCGGATCTGGGCAACCTCGAGCTCAAAACTGAGACCAACAAATTGTGTCTATCAGATTTGCTCATGGACTAAGGGGCCGTCCATAAATGACGTCACGCGATTTTGGACGATTTTTCACCCCCCCCCCCCGTCGTCACACGGCGTCACAAAAAGTCAGACCCCCCCCCCCTCAAATTACGTCACAAAGCTCTGCCCCCCCCCCCAAAAAAAATTTGAAAATATGCTTCAAATCTTTTTAACTATTCTCATTGTAGTGCGTATTTAATGTAGCGCTGCACTCTGATGTCGTAGGAGAAAACTTTTTATTAAAAGGCTATTCAATTAAGTAGAACGTGTTGTCTATATTTATTTAAAGTTGCGCATTTTGATGTGACATCACATTTCTCACCCCCCCCCCTCCTCGTCACAGATCGTCACAAATGTCTGACCCCCCCCCCCCCCGCTAGGTGCGTGACGTCATTTATGAACGGCCCCTAAGCATATGCTTGCTGTCGTTCTAGTGACGATTCATGGTAAAAAGGTGTCAGTTTTGTTGCCAGATAGAAGGGTAAAAAACCAATTATCATATTTTTACTGGCAAATGAGGTTCCCATGGCGACGAGTCCACTGTTTGAGGATGATTGTTTTTCATGATGGCAATGGTTTATCAATGCCCAAATCTTGACACAAATCACTGAGCACACTTTTTAAAATGCATCCTCCATGTGCACCGGGGTTTTAAGACCTCGTTGATATCGTGATGGAACATTGCCAAAAGGCATGTCAGTTGTTTTTTTTAATATACATAAGCATAGTTGAATTCATGTTGAGCTTTATTGTTTTACTATAATTTTGAACGCACTCTTAATGTAATTCAAATCCTTAAGCATTTGTTTCAATAATTATGCTAAGCAAACTCTTGTGTGTTGAGTCCAGTAGCTTCAAACAGCTCCGTTATCTGGGGTGGGCAGGGAACCCATACTCTTTGGTTCTTTCGGTAAAGTCACGTAGGTAGAAAAATAAAATAAAAAATAATATGTCACGACGTTTCGATCGCAACACAAGCGGTCGTCCTCAGACGGAATAATAATCTAGCAGTGGAACTGCTGAACCAGGAAGAAACACAGCGAGAGAACTGTTACAACAAGAGGTTACATATGTGGTGAAAGGCAAGCAGGCAGGGTCTGAGCTGGAAAGGATTTCCATCCCCGCACGCAAGCACATCAGTTGTGTTAATGGGGGAGATTAGGCAGAGAGAGATTAGGGAGAGAGATTAGCATGAAATGAGCTTCCGTCGCCGCATAAAGGTATCGCCCCTGCATATGTGCACAATAGCAGCGGTAATGGGAGATTAGCACTATACAGTATTTATGGGAGAGATTAGGGGGATTAGCAGGTTAATGTCTATGTGTAACACAAGCTGCCAACTGCGCTATGAGAGGCAAGCGCGTCCACGCAAGAGAACCACCGCAACGGTGGTCGCGCCAGTGAGACACACAGCCCATCACACAGCTAGCACCATCGGTACATCGAGGCTAAGGGAGCAGAGGTGGCCATGTTAGTGAGACCCCAGCCCGTTAATGCAGAGGCACCTAACAGGGCAATGCAACTCAGAGAGTCGGAGATAACAGCCAAACGGCAGGGAAGAATGGAAGCACCACAGCAAGTTACGACTTTGCCTGGTAAATAACGTCCTTCCAATGATTGCTCAGATTATACCCACCTTCTCGGTTGAAATTGTCTCAGTGTACATATCTGGATGGCTTCATGGACAAATCTTTGATGGTAGTACGAAGGTTTGCAGAGTGCCTTGGTCTCGGAAATAACAATATCGTGCGAGCCCACTGCGTTAGACCAATGATCATCCACGGCAGGAGTATTGGTTCTGCTGTGTTTCAGGGAAGTTATAGATGAAGGCACATTTGTCTTCACCCTTATGCATAGTTTTCTTGGTATTCTTTGCATTATATAACGGCCAACATCTGGCTTAAAGTTACTTTGGAGCATGCCTTACCTTCAGGAGGCATCTTTGTAGGCCCAAGACCAACTCTGCAACATTAGCTCGAAACAACATATGCAGCCACCATGTGTCAATACACGTCTGTGCATATTTTGTTGGCAGACTTTACTGCACACAAACCCATTTTAATTGGCTCACAGGCGCGCTAATGGAATTAGTTTGTGTAATGTGATCGGTGAGTGCATAACTTGTATTGGTCTTAAGCCACCTTCTCCTGAACACAAAAAAATAATTGGAACAAGCTTTTAAAAAAAATCCCACGGATTGGTAGAATTCCTGAGGAAATTATAACAATTTTATTAGATTTCATAAAGGGTTGCATACACTTATGTAAGTGGTTTTGGAGAACGGGTCACAACCGGTCTTTTTTTAGAAACTCCAACCAGAGTTGGTACGACTAAGGCCAGTTCCGGCTTCGTCATAGTTTGCCGGCACATAGGGCGAGGCTGCCCACTTTATAGCTTCATCAGTTCCAGATGCATAAGCGTACTGGGTGGAATTATAGCGGTGACACAGTGGTTAGCGATTCCTGACACAGTGGTTAGAGAATTGTTGGCCACGGCTAACATCAGTAACGAGTGATATTGAATCGGTACTGGATGCTCCCTTCCCCACCGATGACTGACATGGCATGGGGATGCCTTCATCAGATCCTGATTTATGGAATTAATGAAACATTTTCCCTGTAAAATATTGCTGTTGTTGAAGCAAACATCTTGCCAGGGATAGTCGGATCGAATGTTACATGTAAAGAGATCGATATTAAAAATAATACCAAAATCACGAATTAAAATATTATTTCATGAAAGGCAGTTTTTATGGAAGTGCGTAAGTGAAGATGTGTGTGCGTATGAAGACGTAAACTGTGAATCGAGTCTGCTGGCTTGAGCCTCAGCACCATACTGATTTGTTGCGAATTATTTGGTGGAACTGCATTGGCAGTGTTGCACAAGCATATACTTAAAAACACAATACATTCGTCAATAACACGGTTGCCTAAAAAGGAAAAGTATACAAAAGGTGACGTTTTCAGCAATGGACTTTTTTCACAGCATGATCTAAGGGGGAGGCTGCCAATTTTGAAGCAAATTTATTGCATAGAGTACCGATTCATAAAAAAGAGTAAAAAAATCTCAACTTTAAAGAAACGGAATGATCAGCTTTACAAAATCCGTGCACAGTAAAATGGATTTAAAAACCGTCAGTCTAACGCTCAACTCGGTATGTTTGGCAAGTATGCAGCACGGACAGAGTGGTTTTCATAATCAGACTATGTATTTGCATCGTACGTTATCCTATCAGAATAAGACTATTTAATTATACTGAAGGAATCCGATGATCTATAAAGCTCATCTTCTTGGTTCTTTCGGTAAAGTCACGTAGAAGGGAAGTAATATGTTTTACTTTTATTCTTTTATTACTTCCCTTCTACGTGACTTTACCGAAAGAACCAAGAAGATGAATCCCTGCAGTCACGAAAGCTTTAAATCGAGATCTATAAAGCTCTTTTTCACAGATGTTCAGTTTTTAATCACATACTCACAGCAAGATGCATGACACTGCACCGTGCGCGGCTGTCCATCCACCTCCCAAGTGTGGACACCACACCGGGCAAATTCGATGACATTTGCACCATGAATTTTTGTTTCATTTGCGAAGCATTTCCCAGCCAATTAAATGCTGTTTATGTGAACGTTTGCTTAATGGTGTGCTGTTGTATATAATACCCTATTTATAATGTATTGCATCCACAGTTTGTTTTATTATATAAATGTGTCAGGTGGTTCTGCAATGGGTGCGGTTGCGAAGCCGAGAGCAGTGGCGAAGTGGTTCGCACACCGGTGTTAACCCGGAAACCTGAGATCGATTCCTGGCCAAGGCTAACCCTCCCTGATGAGTGGTATCTTAACCATTACTGGACCCCTCTTCTCCAACTTGCACTGATCGGTGTGGTGATGTATGGTCCAATAATCCCCATCACTGGCACTGCGTGGGCAAGTCTTCATCCAGCAGTAGATTGACAAGCTGCTGCAAATGATTCAATTATTATGAAATGAGGAATAAAGTGGAAACGTGACAGTCACTTTTAGGTCAGGTGCAAATTATTAACATAATAGACATATTTACCATACTTGCGAGGCTTATATGTGCTTATAACATGGATTCCTACGCTGCGTGCCAGCACACTACGTAGCTATTTTGCGAAAAATACATTTTTGTCTTTTAATAGCCTTAAGTAAACAGAAAGCGTTATTTCCCATAAACCACAGAGCCACATTTATCTAAGAGACAACTTCAATTACTGTTTCGTGTATGAGTCACGGATGTGTTTACATGATTCTGCGACCACACCAAGCTTAGAGCCTGGCCTGTGGGAACCTGCCCAGGACAGCGTCAGAATAGTTTGGTGATGTCGCATATTTAATGCAAGAAATATTTGAACCCTTTAAAATTCGGGTCACGAGATACGGTCCGCAGCTGCGGGGCACCTCTGCGCTTACGCTGTGTGCATTGCGCGTGAGTGGAGAGAACGTGGGGGGGGGGGGGGGGGTCAGTGCTGCTGCCCACGTGGATTTCAGGGGTGTCTTGAAGAGAGTTAGTAACCCACATATATACAGTTTTTAAATAACCCACGCTGGCACGGACTCTTCACACTGAAAGATTATTGCAAACACATGACGACCGTTGCCTCCGAGGCAAAAACAAGAATGATAAACTCGGGCATCGCGCTGATATTATTTTATGTCCGGTTTTGTTTGGTTACATAATTACCCTCCCCCCCTCCCCCCCATCGCTGCTCCTACTGTGGTAGGGCAGTGAGCCCAAGTGTCTCCAATCGGTCCCTAATTTGAGGATATATTGCTCCGGGTTCGTTATGCGCTCATGACCTCTGTGTTTCCCTCTTTGATGTTTTTTTTCGATTGTTGAATAAAAAAAACAGATACCCCACGCTGGCTTCATTGAATCACATGCTGACACGCCAGCACTGTACTGGTGATTTGTATCCTGACATATGCGGTCCACTGTTGGGTGAGTGCCTCCTGAAGCCATGCAGGCAGTGAGGCTTAAATGAGCATACTTCACCACACTGGTCAGTGTGTGGGTTGTGGACGGTGGGGAGAGTACAGAGTTGCACTACCCTCCACTACCCACAATGCCTACTGCACCTATAGTATGCTTGTTGTCGTCGCTCGCACAAGCACGGTTTTTACTCCGTTTTAGCTGAAATATAGCATTCGTATTCAATAGGCAGACGTGTGAGATGCATGTGTACACCATAAATACTCGCATAATTATTCTCATATATCATGCGCGTCAGAATCAATTAAACTTACGAATTAATGCATCTCACACGTCTGCCTAACCAATCAGATCTTCTGTAGGTCATTTTCACCCGAGCTTCTGTCCGCGATAGAAATTTTGTGGTTTTCCCTACTCATTGCAAAGCTTTCAACACTCCACAGCTTTCAACACTCCAAAGTGGAAAATGTCTTTTTTTGCTGTACAGCTTTTCTTCGATCAGCTGTGTGGACGTCCAATAGCGTCACATTGATGTCCACCCACCGTAGCTTTGCAGGCTGTGGAATTCACATGTGAACGATCGACGAACGCCCATCCTTATCTCACACATTACTACGGAAGTTCTCTGAACAATGTTGAAGTGTGAGTGTTTCTATTGTATGCCTCGGTATGCTATATTAACACTGCGTCATGCAAATTCGTGTGTTGTGGTAGTGCACCTCCTCCCACTCCCACAGTGCACAATGTATTTGCTGCCCAGGAGCCCAGACAGAGATGTATACGTGCGGCTGTTTACAGCCTTATTGAGGTCACTCCCTGGGAAAAGCAATGCTCTTCCCAGATATCGAAAATAACTTAAGGCATTCCTTAATAACACTGCCTTAAAAAGGTAAAAATTACGGAATACGTGACATTTCAGACAATGGTAGAGAGACCAGAGAGGTAGAGTGGATTAGATTGGGTGGAGACAACACTTTATACACCATTAGGCCTAATAACAGGTAACAGAAGTGTCCCATGTTTCCAAAGTCATGACTCACCCTGTAGTATAGGATGCATTGTTATAATCAATAGAATATTTTGGTGATACCCTCATCCTCCAGTGAATCAACAATCCAAGGATACTTGTCCACCAGATTAGAGAGTGCCAGTGCACTCGTGTGCGGTACATTGTTTTAATACCTCACTTTCCAAGTTCCACAACTGATCAACGGCAACTTTGGCCACCCAAGTTATGTTTACGTGCTCCGTAAGCCGGTGTGTGTTCTCACACGCGGTTATCAAGATTGCCACACCTGCCATTGAAATTGAGGACCCCCCTCTCGAACTTGTGATGAAGCTTCAGTCGGTGACGAAGCTATAGAACTCTGAAAAAAAGTTTGGCTGAAGCCCATGTCAAAACTGATGGCACACAGCTGAAAAGCTACTTGACCCAAGATTCCTCAGATGCTGCACATGCTGTGTACGTCTCATGCCACATATAAGTTTTAGGGTGTTGAGATTTTACTTAAGAATCGGATTTATCCGAAAGCAGGGAATGTTGTATCATTTTGATAGATGAAAAAGCACAATGCTGAGTTTTTTTTCCTGGCACATCACCCCAGCTGTTTTATAATGAACAAGACAGTTTTGCAAGTCCACAACTGCCAACATGACCGGTTTCAACCCTGTACTGTCTTGTAAAATCAACTATAAACTATTTGTATTTTACCAGGTAAGGCCCACTGAGCTATTTAGCTCTTTTTCAGAATCAACCTGGTCACAAATAATAGTTCAATGAAGTGGCTTATCATGTGGACATTGTTAGCATGTTTCTAAATGTGGAGGGAAAAACTGGAAGACCCGGAGAAAAATCCACGCGACCACGGGGAGAACATACCTTCAAAAATATGGGCGTCAGGGGTCGGGATGAACCGACGACCTCCTGCATACCAGGCGAGGTAGTGAACATCTCCTAGCCACCGTGGTGCCTGGTGGTTGCGAGACACACTCCAGTCTGTGCAGTTCGGAACATGTCCATCGCTGAGATAACAGATTTGCGATTAAACAGAATGCATGAAAACAAAGTTACCGCAGATTATCTGTAAAATCGTAAGTTAAAAGGTGTCCACAGTTTTTGCATTTGTTGATGGCAATGCTGTCCGCCCAGCATTCTCCCACTAGCCGCTTTGTCTTTTGGTGTGTGAGTGTCTATAATAGAGCTGGGACGATTAGTCTATTAAGTATATTTATCGACCAAACATGTTTAATTGCCTGCTTTATTTATGGTCGATTACTCTGGTCCCTTTAAAAATGGAAACCACACCCTGTCTCCCGAAAACGGGAAACCCCCTTTACGCTACCCCCAGCGCGACGTGGCTGTTGATAACAAACACATCACAAAGCCCGGCAGCGTCACACTCCCCCCCACCCCCCATCTATTTGGCGTGTTACCCGATCGGTCGAGTCATCGAACCGATAATCGGTAATGAGTAAGCGATTACCTTAATACTCAGATATCCCAGCTGTACTCTACGAGGACCCAGATGTGTCTCCGCTTCACTCGGACCACTTCCAACGGTTTTCAGCGGCCGGTCGTTTAAGTGGAGATGCTTTAACCAGGGCCGCATTCCTTTCTGTGTGCACCACACGGCACTAGCCGGCGCACGGTTGTGCACATACGCTGACAATAAGACCTTTGGGAAATTGGAGAGACTTGTTTTTCAGACAGCCACACGCACGCAAGGAATTCTGGAATTTCATTGCCAACACAGGATTTCTGGGAAATATTTAATCGGAGCTGTTGGCCTCTTTCAGGTCACAATCTGTGGAGAAGCTGCCTGCAGTGGCATATAAACATGCACATTTCCACGTGATAAGCCACTTCGTTGATCTGTCATTTGTGGCCAGGTAGCTTCTGAAAAAGAGCTATATAGATCAGTGGGCCTTACATGGTAAAATAAAAATAATTGTAGTTTAATAGTTGATGCAACAAATCGGTTGGTATTTTCTCTCCTCTGCGATGCCAAATACCACCAACACATGTTTCAGCTCAGGAAAATGGTAATAGCTTCTTTAAAACCAACCTATAATACCTTTTGAACTGTTCCTCTTTCTTCTTGATGGTAATTTTAGCAGCAGATATTTAAGCCTGCCAATCAAAATTGTTGAATATAAAGTCGTCTTTCCATTTTATACAAACTAAATTTCCACCACATGTATTAACACCAATTCCCTTTGCTTTTTAGTGAGAAAACATGTCTCTGCTGAAGACATTAATAATATAATTTCTGACTAAGGGACAGGAATGTTGCTCATGAGTCATTCACATAAATTTGACAAAAGAACGTTCCGAATATTTGCCACCCCATTCCTAAGAGGTCCTTCAATGAACCTTGGGCAGCCTAATCCGCTGTAAGTTGCTTTGAAAACAAAATGATTTTGGGAAAATAACAAAAAACTCATCTTCCAGTAAAACGACAAGGAAAAATCCTCTCTGTGCGTTTGGTCTGCGCGTTGTGTCGCCGTACACATTGTTTAAGAATGCAAAAACGTGTCCTTTATTAATTGTGCCAATGTAGGAGTTGCATAAGTATACGATTTTGATCATTTGAAAAAAAAACGCAAGGCAGGGAATTCTGGAGACCATGTGGTGGGTTGTAATGGCTCTGCTCATTTGTTAACATCTGGAGTTTGTGAAATCCCCCCCAAAAAACCCCAATAAGTTATTTTTGTCTCAGGCTCTCGGACTGAACTCTTGCGCCGTGATGCTACATTACAGCTCTTAAAATAAATAAAGGATGCTCCACATACAAAATACATATGTTTCGTCCCATTAGCCCATGAGACCCACAAGGTTTAAAACTGGTTCCGAGTTTGCTTGAACAAATTCAGTACTGCTGGATGATATTGTTCCACAAGGCGCATTGGCCGTTGAATAATAACATTTTCTACGTGTAGAGAATGTATTTATGCATGAATTATATGTAAATACTGTATTCGCATTTCTCAGGACACATTACAGGAATAATCTTGCTCGAGTGTACATCCCAAACAATGTTGGGATGTCGTTTAAACTTTTTGGAAGAAATATTCCACGCAAACTTTTAAAATTGGAAAAGCTTTTCGATTTAAAGCTTTCGTGACTGCAGGGATTCATCTTCTTGGTTCTTTCGGTAAAGTCACGTAGACTTTACCGAAAGAACCAAGAAGATTAGAAAAGCTGTGAAGATTGGAAAAGATGTACTGTATTTACAGATATACTAAATGAATGGGTAAATGCTTCAGTGCACGTGACCGCATACTTCTGCATGAAGCAGATGACATTGAGTTGTATAATGATGGAAGATTGTTTGGGTTTTCAACATAATGGTATTTAATGCTCACCGTATATCAGTGAGGTATTCCCAACTGAATTTGCCATAGGATGTCAATTTCTCTTCTCACATTCAAGATGCTTATAGTGCACACACACACATCCATTATCCAGCTTACTATATACACACTCGCAGACATGGGCTTTAGAGCTGTCATTCTAGATATGAAAACATTTACAGTAACATTAACTGCACTCCAGCCTAAGCTAGCACTGAATGCACCGCTCTGATGAGACACACTGAACAGACACTCGCTTTCACCCATTCATAAAGCGCAGCTAGAAATTCTAGATTTGAAGCTTTCGTGACTGCAAGGATTCATACTCTTAGTTCTTTCGGTAAAGTCACGTAGGTAAAAAATGAAAAAAAATCACGACGTTTCAGAGGCAACACAAGCTTCCGTCTTCAGGTGAAACTGTCACAGCAAAATATCTGTATCAAGTGAAGAGAAGTCCCAAGAGTTACGACCTTAGGAAGGCCAGCGTCTCGAGAAGCTGTGACTTCTTGTCTCGTTGTCTGTTAAAAATTCTAACAGATAGGTGAAATTCCTCCCCGTAGAGGGTATTAATTCTAGATTTGAAGCTTTCGTGACTGCAAGGATTCATACTCTTAGTTCTTTCGGTAAAGTCACGTAGGTAAAAAAATGAAATTAAAATTAATAAAAAATAAAAACAATAAAAAACAATAAGAGTATGAGTACGCAGCTAGAAAGCTTTGTTCGAGATTTGAAGCTTTCGTGACTGCAATGATTCATACTCTTAGGTTTTTTCGGTAAAGTCACGTAGGTAAATAATAATAATAATAAATAAATAAAATAATAACTGAAAATAAATCAATTAAATCACGACGTTTCAGAGGCAACACAAGTATCCGTCTTCAGGTGAGACCGTCACAGCTAAATTTACTGTATCAAGTGAGGAAAAATCCAAGAGACAAGCTCTTAAATACAAGTTAAGGGGGAGGGGGGGAGGGGCTTATCTGAATGTGGTAGCCAGGGAATGGAACGGTGGGGGGGGGGCTTTACCTATGTGACTTTACCGAAAAAACCTAAGAGTACAAAGCTTTGTATTTTACATAGCTACGTGAGTTGCACTTTCACCATGGAATCGATCATATATTGTTAATGTACATTTCGCCTCCACCGTGTTACTTGATAATAATAATATACGTTAATTTGCAGTGATTGCACTTCACGGATTGATGAAAATTTACGTCCGGTGGCCCAGGTGAGAAGCGAATGTAGTTTGATATAAGTGGGTGGATGTGGATCATTTGGGGGATCGACTGGTAGACGAAGTGGTGAGCACATTGTACGATGCACCTGTCAATAGAAGCTTGATTCCTGACCATGGCTCAATGTCAGTTGTGGTTGATATCTGAACCCGACCTGAGCCCTCTCCTTTCTTCCTAGATTTGAAGCTTTCGTGACTGCAAGGATTCATATTCTTAGGTTTTTTCGGTAAAGTCACGTAGGTAAAAAAATTTAAATTAATAAAAGTAAAATAAAAATAAAATAAAAATCACGACGTTTCGGGGGCAACACAAGCTTCCGTCTTCAGGTGGAACCGTCACAGCACGATAGCTGTATCAAGTGAGAGAAATTCCAATGAACAATATTTGTATTACCTTGTTATCTCAGCATCTCTTTAGGAAGGCCAGCGTCTCGAGAAGAAGTGACTTCTTGTCTCGTTGTCTGTTAAAAACTCTAACAGATAGGTGTAATTTCTCCCCGTAGAGGGTATTAATTCTAGATTATAATTTTTTATTTTTTTACCTACGTGACTTTACCGAAAAAACCTAAGAATATGAACCCTCTCCTTTCACCAACCCACATTGACGAGTGCGGTAGAGCATGGTCAAACAACCCCCATGATCCGACATGACGTGGGGAGGCCATCGTCCAGCGATGGTATTGACAAAGGGCTGTGGATGATTATATTAATACCTGATTTGAAGCTTTCGTGACTGCAGGAATTAATCTTTGGTTCTGTCGGTAAAGTCACGTAGAAATAAAATAAATTAAATAATAGAATACGACGTTTCGATTGCAACACGGCTTGTTTTCTCAAACGGCCTATTTCTCTCTCTAAAATTTACCAGGCTCTCAGAGGTCCATTCGCTCTTTCTCTACCCAGGCCGCTTCGGGGTGGATTTCCACACAGCTCTCTCTGTGTGTCTCTGTTTGTCAAATTTCACACTTAACATTTAATTTTAGCAATCTTTGGAGATCGTAATCAACCAGGCTATGCGTTAACTGTGTTTTAGCCGACTCTCTGTGTTGCATTGCATTACATTTCCAAAGAATTTGCTCAATTTTGTTTTCTCAAACGGCCTATTTCTCTCTCTAAAATTTACCAGGCTCTCATAGGTCCATTCGCTCTTTCTCTCCCTCGTTCGCTTTAGGGTGGATTTCCACACAACTCTCTCTAAAATATACCAGTCTTGTTGGGTCTTTCATTGGCATGCTAATTTCTCTGCTCCAGCAGATCCACTTCTCTCTCTGCCCCCCTCCCCCTCTCTCTATTTAAGGCCTCGACACAGAGGCATTGGGTCTCTGTGTGTCTATGTTGTGTGTCTCTCTCTCTGTGTGTCTCTGTGTTGTCTCTCTCTGCTTGTGTGTCTGTCTGTGTGTCTCCGTGTCTGTGTTTTGTCTTTCTCTCAAATTTAGTTCTACCTGATGACGGTTGCTTTGTGTTGAAATCAAAACGTCGTATTCTATTATTTAATTAATTTTCTTTCTCCGTGACTTTACCGAAAGAACCAAAGAGGATATTAATACCATTATTCAGTAAACCCTCTCTATCCGCGAGTTCGAAATTCGCGATTTAATAAATGTGTACTAACTCCTGATTCGCGACCTGTCGGACTCCAGTATTCGCGAGTGGATGCGCCAGACCACTGACGTGTAGGATGTGCGTGCGGAATGTGACTACTTATACAACGGTCTGCGAAGATTGGGCACACCCCCAGGCTGCCCGCGTAGTCCTCAGTCTTGCAGCAATCCCGCTCTGAACTCCTTACTGGATTGTGGATTTTTACTTTATACATACTTACAGTCGACTCGTTTATACATTTCGTTATACACGAATCGACTGTGAGGTCCATTGAAAAGAACGCGAATGCAATCGGGGATAGTGTAGCGAGCGGCGAGTGCTCCACCAGAGTGCTAAAATTATAACAA